TACCTACATGGGCGCAATAAGTTCATCCCCTATTTACTAGAGACCACCCCATCCTATCAATAATAATTAATACTAAAACAGTAGTTTTATTGTGCTACAATAGGGTAGATGCCTAATTTTTTTTTAATGTCCGTCTGGTAGATTATTTTAAATCATTAGACACGTATCTTTATTTTCTTACAGAAACGAATACTATCGGCGATTTATTGATTTGAAATGTCGTGTGACGTCACTTCTATGTAGGTTACATTTTATACGTAGAAATGACGTTTTAGCCCTCACTCCTAAACTTTGATTCGTTTTATCATACGACAAAATAAAAAATACGTGTCTAATATTTTTTCATTACCTAACTTACGGACTATATATTTTTAATTTACATACCCTGTCATCATCCTAATGTGCCCGAAAAAAATGCACTTAAACAGTTTTTAAATATGAAATATGTCTAGTATCCACAGACAGGCCATAACGTTGCTACCGATACCAGAACAACAAAAAATCTTAGATCTATAAATAAGATACTATCACGCATTTGTTTCACCGGATCAGGTGTTCGCACAGCATTCCGTAGACTTGTTTAGTAGTTGTTTTAAGTGGACCTTATCGAACAATAGACAAATTATACCTACCTACCTAGACTAGACTATAACTCCGCTAAAGGTCAGTGGTCATATTTTTAAAAGCTTTTTTTTTATTTTGTTGCTCACATTTTTTTCTAGTGTTTAATTTTTGGTAGTCAAGCCAACTACTTGGCCTTTCGTGTTTGAGGGGGAAAATCCTCTAATGACTCCTCCCGCCTTGGGTGAGGCGAGAGGGAGTGTCAAACTCTTACTGACTAAAAAACTCTTACTGACTAAAAAGTCAGTAAGAGTTTGACCACCCCGTACCTACACTTCGAGCCGGATCCCCGGCAAACCGTTAAGTTCTCCGCGGCTCCGTATCAGCATCATCCCTATAGGGCCCCCATCAGTAATGGTTGGTCTGATGGCTCTTTGAGGCGCGCGCGAAAAGCAACGCGCCGCGCCAGTCGTTCGGGTCTGGTTCAGGGTGCTTACTCTTGAAACCAATCTCAATGTCAATGCAATTTCAATCCAATAAACTCTTTATAATTTTTGAATGTCAAACCTATAAAATCCCTATCGTAGCTGTTAAAATAGCATTCAGAGTACGGAATATAAAGCCAAACTCAATACCATTTAGTTCATTCAATATCCACGCAATACGAATGCAATGGGCGTACGAAATTTCAAATGCAATGTCGATCGATCGGAATTGGATTCAAGAGTAAGCCCCCTGGTTCAAGTCGGGCGGCGAGTTACCCGTGCTCGCTTGTGTCCTCCGGGCGGTCCTCGAACTAATTGACCTACTCTTAGATGATGATGATAACGGTGGTACTTTTAATGCCATAAAAAGGTAGGTAGAATTGCAAATTTTCAGTGTGAAACACACTTTTCACTAGTTATGCTATAAGTCCCATGTTCTACATCTAGAAGGTAATTTTCCTAAAAGCCTTTACATTTAACATACCTATCATATCTTACGCTCATCTAAGTACCTAACTAGTAACTTAATAAATTAAGTAAAATCGCGGGTTACTCACGTGAATATACTGAGAAAAGCTCTACTAGTTTCGAACCACAGAGGGGTTCTTGCGTGCGCGGTCGCGGCGACGTCGCGCAGCTCACTGGATTTTACTTAATTTAGTTCTGTATGTCTCACGATAGTTATTATAGTAACTTAATAACTTATTATCATCATTATTTTATTGCATTGCTTGAACTATGCCCTAACTGGCCCTCAGTTAGGACATATAAATTTTTCCAAATCACATTTTGTATTTCAAATCAGCAGAATTTTAACTTATTGTTGAAATTAATAACATGGTAAATATTTTATTAAGAGTATCACCCGGTTGAATGAATTTATTCTATACCCATACGCGAAGCATAATGACAGATTCCGTGCTAGATATTAAATAGGTACCTACTGAGAATTTTCAAAATAATCTTACCTTTCCTCAGTCGGTAATCGGGTTTAAAATCGCCCAATTGGTCTAAAATCTAGTTTATTATCACCTCGCAAATCTAAACATCTCGTGTGTCAGATTAATCAGATGATCTGCAGATAACAACCAGATAGTTGGTCCATGGTTGGTAATGACTCAGATAAGCGACCAGTTTCTACAGCCAGCTAGAGCAGAAATAAACTAATTATTTATTTACTACATGGAAAAATACCTACTATACCAACGATTAATAGAAACTCTTCGAAGAAATATGTGTTTGGTTCTAGAAAGATCTTAATTTTACGTAGAAGAAAAAAATATGGCGGACAGTGGTTGGAAAAAGTTTTTTAAATACCATAGATTCTGACTAAGTTTTGATAGCAGGAGTAGGGCAATGTAACGGATAATGTAAGTAAAACATAGTAGTGCCATCTGTTATCGTAATGTACAACTACGCGTTTAATTGTCTGTGTTATTCGCTACCCTTTTATGTAGTAGGCGGCAGACGGTACGATTCATCTGATGGTAATAACCTAACGGGTCACCGGGGCTCCGGCTCGACGTGCAGGAGAAGGAACGGGGTGGTTTTTAGTCAGTAAGAGTCTGACACTCCCCCCGCCCCACCCAGGCGGGAGCAGTCATTCGATGATTTTTCCCCCTTAAAAAAAAAGCTATCACCGTCGCGCATGGACCCCCGCAACACTAAAGAAGGAACAAGGAAGAGACTATTATTAACAGATGCTTAACGTTCAGAAGGTTAAAGTTTTAGTGTAATATCATAAATTATAACCTTGACCATCATTAATTTGTACTATTATTAGAACGTGAAACAGATCACAAGTGGATTTATGTTATTAACCTTCTATTAAGAACTTGTTCTGTAACTCAACTCATATTTTCTTATAGTTCTTTAGAACAGCCTCGTTGATACACAGATCGCAACTGTTAATCATGAGTTGTTGACTCCTGGGTATGTCGGCTCTGAGTAGTAGCCCCCTCTGTTATGCAGATAAAATATCTTTTTGTTGTTGTGGCTACATTAGAAGTTCATAAAACTGTCAATGGTTCTGCTAACTCAGAATATATTTATTTTTTATTGGGGGACAAGCCCGCCACAACCTCCCAAAACCGCTGCAACTCCTGTAAGCCAGAATCTACAGTAGATACAACCATGAAAACACCGAAACACCGAAGTCCAGGCGCATCTCAGGAACATGAATTGCCTCGTTGGCCGAGTGGTCGCAATTGAGACTGCCGGGCAAGGGGTCTCGGGTTCGATTTCCGAGTCGGGCAAAGTATTATGGTTTTTTTTTAATTCTGAGTAGTAGCACTGAGTCTGGAACTGTGCCCGGTATATGGCAATAGGCTCACCCCCTATTACATGGGACTCATAACATAAATAGTGAAAAGTGGGTAAGTACGTGTTATATTGTACAGTGGTATAATGTGCACCTCTGTCTACCCCTTCTAGGATAAAAGGCGTGATGTTATGTTATGTTATGTTAAATAATTTAGTTCTGAATGACGTTAAGTTAAAATTTTTTAGGTCATTTTTTTAGGTCAAAATTCATTATAGTAGGCTTCCAAAAGCCTACTATAATGAATTTTGACTGTACCTATAGTGTTGTTGTTGTTTTTTTTTAAGTGTTGAAAATCATCGAATGACTGCTCCCGCCTGGGTGAGGCAGGAGGGAGTGTCAGACTCTTACTGACTAAAAACTACCCCGTTCCTTCTCCTGCACGTCGAGCCGGAGCCCCGGTTACCCGTTAGGTTCTCCGCGACACCTACACCTAGTACGTTGACTCGGTACAGATAAATGATTTGACTTTCACATTGAGTACCCACCTATATACATTGGGAATTACCAGTTGTCCATTCCTCATCCGATAATCATTTTCAATTGAGCCAGTGAGACAGCGAGACAGTGCGACAGTGCCTGACCTTCCTCTTATTGTACTTGTTCATATAATATCTGACTCACTGGTTTATCGGACTGTCTCTTACATTATAATACATAGGTATATTGTCACAGACACACTGATTGACCCATATTGTTATAGTTTGTCTAGCTGTTTGTTTGTTTGTTGCCTGATTTTTGTTATTTATGGTGAGTGGTCTTCTTCTGGTCCATAATTTTATTATATGTCAATTTATTTTGGAACGGGCAATCATGTGGTTGAGATGTGAACAACCTGAAGAAGGAAGAGGATAATGATCATCCAAAATCAAGTAGTTTCCAGGGTATCAAAATTAAAAATCTAATTAGTCCGTCAGTTAGATAATGAATAATTATAATTAGTCATTAATAATTATTCATTAATAATTATAATCATTATTCATTACACGTATTTTTTTATTTTCTCGTATTAAGTTGCAATACTTAGACAAAATGGCGCTAAGTTTAGGAGTGGGGGTTTGTTACGTCATAACGTGCTACAAAATGTGGCACGCTATGACGTCACACGATATTTCAAATTAATATATCGTCGAAAGTATTTCATTTTGTGAGAAAAGAAAAAATACGTGTCTAAAGTTTTAAATTAATGTACCAGACGGACATTAAAATAAAATTTAGGAAACTACCGTATTCTGCAGCGACGCTCAGTAGCTCTTAAAAAATGCGAGAAGGAAGATTTAATACCCATTACCTACCTATCCTCTGTTGTTGGCCCCCTGGTGGCTAAAGCACAGAAGTTCCAATTCTGTCAGATACCTACGCTGAAAATATTCAAAACTTCTAGACAAATCCTCTAATGACATCTACAACAATCTACTTAATAACTAGGTAAATTACGCAGGTTCTTAATTTAAATCCCCTTAGCTATTTTAGTTGCAAATTCCAAGAGGCCAATCAAGAGTATTAAACTAATTACGACAGCAAAAAACAGGCAAATCGGTGAGCAAAAACTATATCTATGCAAGTTATGAACTTGTAACTTATTTCTTTAGTGTAAACTTGTTTATTTTATATCATTATGTCCGTCTGATAGCTCACGGATACGACGTGTGATCCATAAATAAATATCGCATTATTTAATTCGCCATTTTCTAATTTCACTCCATATTTAGTGATGTGGTAACGATATAGACTAAAGAACGTTTAGGTAAATCGTAATTAATCGATAAGTAATAAAGCGTTATTTTAAAAATAATTTTGGAAAATTTTTCGCAACGATTCCAGATTACAGACTATAGTGTTGTGTTTTAATAAACAAGTGTGTCATTCGATGGACAACGAATTGAATAATTTGGTCCTAAATTGGGGTCCGTTACTGATGCAGCGTCGAGATTACTGTTCAGTGGACATTCAGACTGTGCTAACGTTAGTGTGAAGGTTTCTTCACCGTCTACCTAGTGTTGGTCGGAACTCCGTGAAGATATCGTAAGTATTTTGTTTATAAAGTCATGTGCAATCTCCTGTTTGTATTGACGCGCAATTTGTTTATTATCGCTTCAAGAGAAAGTTTCGTATCCTTGAGAAATATATTTATAACGAGCGATGTTTTATTTAAATTAAGAAGTTGAGAATTGCCTATCATTAGTAACATGTATTAGTTTTTTAATTAAATGTAACGGCACTACGGCTTGAATGAAGGATAAACGTTTTTTAAATGTTCTTTTTTTAAACCTTTCGAGGACATTATCAATATTCGGTAATTGAAATAAAATTACTTGCAAGTCCTTACGAACCTTTCCATCAACATTCAATTACTTACAAATAAATAAAAATATATTTACGGCACTATTTAATCAGCTTGTGTATTTTCAATTTGATGATTATTTAGTAAGTAGATTGACAGACTATTCTGTTTTTTTTAACGTCTCAAAAGCCATGTATGTCATGTTTGCTGTCATAGAGTGAGTTTGATAGGAATACCCGTTTGAAAGGAGACAATATGTGATTGTAGGCTATTCCTATCACAAAAGATGATTAATGATGGCCGCATTAGGTGTCACTAAAATAACAATACAAAAACGTACCTATAATTAATCTGGGTTTTTTCCATTTAGTATTAAATCTTTATGATAATGGCACTACCATTACTAGAGTCTAGAGTAGATACAGCAGCCCTTTCAGCTAGATATTTTATCAATCGAAGCTCTGAATTCATATGATTTTATACCCCAAGCCGTAGGGCTAAGAGTAGTCTTAGCCTACTAGAGAAATGAAAATCTTAAGATTTTGTTTAAGAAATCAAAACATAACATCACACCTTTTATCCTGAAGGGGCACTTATGCCGCTGTACAATGTAACACTCACTTTTCACTATTTATGTTATGAGTCCCATGTAATAGGGGGTGAGTCTATTGCCATATACAGGGCACAATCCGAAATTCCGTGCTATTACTGAGAATTTTTAAAAACCCCATAATACTTTACCCTACCCGGGAATCGAACCCGAGACCCCTTGCCCGGCAGTCGCACTTGCGACCACTCGGCCAACGAGGCAGTTTTAGTTATCGTGCCTTCAAAATATAACTGATGACTGAACGGTTGCAGCGGTGGCTGTGCAACGGGCTGCCGTGCAGCGTGTCGCGGGTTCGATTCCCGCACGGAATAACACTTAGTGTGATCCACAAATTGTTGTTGTTCCGGGTCTGGGTGTCATGTGCTTGTGAATTTGTATGTTTGTAAACGCACCCACGACACAGGAGAAAATGCCAATGTGGCGCAACGTTTTTAAAAAAAAGGTAAGGTCTCAAAAACGTATAACTTCAGCAACGCATTTGTAAACCTTTTTGAAGTTGTGTCCATTTATGGGTAATGCTGATCAGGTTCATCCGCGGAATGCTCCTCATAAATATGAGCCTCTAGCATGGCTTGAAACTAGTTGAGTTCCTCGTCGAATAATTACGAGGGTAAGCTGAAAAATATTATAATTAATTTAGTATAGTTATCTCGCGATAGTTATAATGTAAATAAACACTACTTTCCTATTCCCATGGTACATTTAACCACTAGGTACTGTTAGTCCAAGCTGGGATCCCGATACCCCTTGCTCAGCAGGTGCGCTCGCGACCAACACGGCAGCCTAAAGTTTATAATGTTATTGCATAATATTAAAGTGCCTGACATCACTATAACGGACCTTAAATCCAATAGCGCTACTTAGGACCGCGTGCTTAACACGCGACTAATAAATGTAACATGCTGTATTTATCTATATAAATAAAAATGAATTGCCGTTCGTTAGTCTCACTAAAACTCGAGAACGGCTGAACCGATTTGGCTAATTTTGGTCTTGAAATGTTCGTGGAAGTCCAAGGTTTAAGAGGTGAGAAAAATATTTTTTAGGCGATACGAAGTTTGCCGGGTCAGCTAGTAACTAATAAATACACGTCATACTGTAGCTATTATAGTTATGAACTAGCTTCTGCCAGTGACTGTGCTTGCGGTCCCAGGAAATAATTAATGTAGCTTATGAGTTTTTAGACCATAATCTATCATGCATGCATAATCTTTCATATCGTAACACTGTTTTAAATGTCATCTCGATTCCTTCAGCTGTTTTTATGTGATTGAGTTACAAACATACACAAACTCACGAACTCGAGTTCATAATATTAGTTATATATATGGAGCCTCCAAATCATAAATGTTACTAGAAAAGTTTCAGTTTATAGTAAACAAGCTGTTGCCATGGCAACGATGAGTTAACCTTTGATTCAAATTGGGTAGTTTCCTTAATCAAAAATAAATTATTTGAACTGTTCAATACAATAAAATATTAAAAAATAATTACACTTTTCATGAATTGATTTTATGACCAGCTGCATTTTAGTATATTTCCAGCAATTTGTAAGAAACGTTACGTCACAATCTCGTACAAAATTCATAGGAAACTGTCGTTTTTGACAGCCCGGAAAAAGTATTGAATTTGACTAGTTGGCAAGTTACACCCAATTTACAGCTATTTTAATTAATGTTCATTATATTAATCGTCATTTTCAATACGCAGTGCTTCTTGAAAGTTTTGTTCAGTAATCATAGGCATAGCATATCCTTTATGAAATCATTAATTGTCCAAGTGGAGACAGCTAGTACGATTAGCAACTACATTTTTTTTAAGGGGGGAAAATCATCAAATGACTGCTCCCGCCGGAGCCCCGGTTACCCGTTAGGTTCTACGCGACTCCGAATCGGCATCGGCATCTGTTTCTGGTCGGACGGGGAGCCACCCATGCTCGCCGTCCGCAGGCCCGCACTTGCAGTGGCCGGAGATCGTCCCGCGATCCCCGACGCCCGGTGTGTCCTTCGCGATGGCTGGGTTGCGAGGAGGCAGCGCTTCGCTGCCTCACGCGTCCCGCCTCCTCCTTAGCTAGCATGACTGCTTCGCAAAAGGAGGAGACGGCATCCCAGTCCCCCTCGCTCCGCATCATGGCCTGACGATTAGCAACTACTGAACCGAACATTTTCTAAATGTGACGTCCATGTTTTTCAAGATAGCTTGAATCACGAATCACTTGATGACTTAGCACTAAACTTAAACTTAGCTGACTAGCTAAAAGGCTTGAGTTAAGTGCTAATAGTGACCACCGGGGTGATTTTAGTGAGAAAATATTCCCACAGTCACTAATCTTTTTCCCCAAAATCCTAAGCCCCTTTTGAAGGTTACTCCACAAAAGGAGGTTAAAGATTGGATCAATACGGTTTTTTTGAGGGTAGAAAATCATTCAATTTCTTCTCTCGCCCTGGTGAGAACTAAGAATATACTGACTAATAAACCACGGGGCCCTGGCAACCCGTTAAGTCTTCCGCGGCTCCGCATCGACATCAGCCATATTGGGCCCATCTGTGGCGGTCTGATGGCGCCGTCGTACGCGCCGAGTTGAGCAGCGAGTTACCCGTGCTCGCCATCCACAGGCCCGACCGACAGTGACCATTGGTTGGATACGAACCGACCAATGGGTACAGAGATGTGGCTTGGTTAACCTTTAACTACTGACGTGGGTGTCTCATAGACGGCGTGTTCACGAATATAAGAATTTTCAAAAAAAAAACGTCCAAATAATAGTATTGTAGCTAAGATTGTAACATATATTTTTTTTAAGTTATGCGAAATATTATATTTTAAGTTTATAGAATTTGAATCAAAAGCCGCTGATTTTATTCGAAAATGTTTTTTTTTACACTTCCTTAATAGAATTATATTGGACCAATCATAATACAATTAAATATTGTGCAAATCAGTAAATACAAGTAATCCATCCATTTCGATTAATTATTAAGGCGTTTGACGTACGTTTCTGTTTATGGTATGAGTAAACCACGTCAGGACTTGAAGGTTAAAAAGCATAATATAATTTAGTAGAACAATAGCTACTGTCTCTGTACTGAATCGATCTTTACTTTCTTACCCGCACACCTACTTAAGAGCTGTGCTGACTGTACTTGCATTTAGTTTAGTCCTTACATTTGGCACTCTACTTATCGTCTTATTTCCTCATAGTTTGTGTTACTTGTAGTATGTATTTCATGTTATTTGACCAGCTACAATTAATACGTAAGCTATAATTAGATTAGATTGTTTTTTATAATGAGGCTGCGGGGCAATGATCTCATTTTATTGCCATCCTGCGGAGTCTGATGTAATAGTGTAACATGTTGTGAATTAGTTTGATATATTTCTAATAAGACCGACTGCCTCGATGGCCGAATGGTCGTAAGGGCGACTGCCGGGCAAGGCTCGGGTTCGATTCCCGGGTCGAGCAAAGTATTACTGGGTTTTTAAAAAAAAAATCTCAAAAGCAGCACGGAGTCTGGAAATGTGCCCGGTATATGGCAATAGGCTCACCCCCTATTACATGAGACTCATAACATACATTAGTAAAAAGCGGGAGTTACCTCTGTGTGCACCTCTGCCTAGGGTAGGCAGAGGTGCACACAGAGGGATTCGGGGATAAAAGGCGTGATGTTATGTTATGTTATTTCTAATTATTTGGCTACCGCCATGAGAAAGTCGTTAAATAACATTCTACATTGTCTAACGAAGAATTTGGGCGATTTGATTGAACTAACCGGGCAGGCTGCCTGGGTCTGCAGCGGTCTGAGCTAAGCTGTGGTCTTCCACCTACTTGTAAAGCGCGGAGATTATGACAAACCTTTTTAAAATATGTAGAACATGTCCATTACTTCAGCAGTAGACTGTAAGACTGTTACAGGCAGTATCGTCTATCGTGTAGCAAATTCGATTCCTGCACGGAGCAAATCTTTCTGTGCCCAAGGGCCCAATGTAGTCTAAGAGAAGACGGCCCTGGTTACAGGCTGATGATGATGATGTCGACGTAGCTTGAAGTAGGTACTCGCTTATAATCAGGTGACAATGTGATACTTGGTGAATTCGAACCGGTTACACCGCGGAACTCTTGCTGAGCACTACTTGTATTTTATTACATAGGTCGATATATAATATATCATGTGCTGTGACCTTAGTCAAGGTGTGTCGTATTAGGTAACGTTGTGCAAGTAACTTATAAAGTTATAAACGATTTTTTGTATAATAGTGTGATATTTAAAATTAAATAAAATATACGGATTACTCGTTAATCATTCGAGAAAAGCTCTTCTAGTTACAAGTTACAACGGGACTCATTCACGTGTAAGCATGTCTCGGTTTCAAAATAGCATTTTTACTCGTTTGGGAGAGGCCTATGAGGCAGAGTACGGAATATAAAGCCAAACTCAATACCGTTTAGTTCATTAAATACCCACTCAATATGGATAGTAAAAATATAGCTAGATTAGTAAATCCTGTATGATTGTAAGGATTTATACCTACTTGAGACTTTAGATTCTTATTGGTCTATTTAAACGGACAATACCATCAGCGCGCTGATGATGCTTTTAATGCTTTATAGGTACCTATTACTCACAAATTCATGTCCTAAACCCCTCGAGCTTCTTTCAAAATTGCCACAATAAAGGTTTTGAAAATTTTATCTAAGTTTAACTTAGATCGCTACCACTTAAACATTTAATCAGTTACGTCTTGTGGCTGATGAGACGATGATGCACAGACCCAAAGGACTAAGGAGGACAAAGACAGTAGTCTACCAAGCTAGTTATTTATTGTAACTTGCAGTCTACATTTTGTGTAACTACAGTAGTAATCAGATCTTACCACTGTCGTTCTAAATTAATTTGGTTTTGCGGTTTATTTCATACTTGTTATATTCGATTAGACTGACACAATACTCAGTCATTCTCTTCAGGTGGTTCGAAGTGGACTGGCGTTCTATCTGTCTGGTACTGGTACCTTCACTTCTCAATCAACTGCTGTGTGAATAGCAAAGTCAGTTTGTGTAGCGCAAAACATTCTAAACTACAATTATTGCTATTTATTAATCGATAACCTCTTAGTCTAATACTTATTTTATTTTTACCCATTGCAAAAATTGATGCATTTAGGACTCTCTGATTAGGTGCCGGTGCCTATACAAGGTGTTGTTTTAAAGCCGCGTCATTTTCTAGGAGGTAACTCGGCTATCGATTCTGAGTCTGAATCAATAAAAAAATTGTAGGTAAATATTTTAAATTTTTCTGTAAATTACGGAAATCCGTAAGTGCGAACTACACGGCGCCGTCTTGTAACTAGCTTTATTTCGCGGCTCATAGGTACACACAAACTCAAACACGTAATTGATATTATTCCTAATTCCATAAAACTCCAATAAGAAACATTGCTGTCGCTTATTCTGAAATACTGTCGAACTTAAACGATTTATTATAGCCGTATTTTTAACTATTGGCCCGAAACTTTTTCTTACATTGAACCTTTAGGACTTCTGTTACATGCCCCCGAGAATGCCACGGTTTCAAAACTACACCTTGTATAAGAGTTAAAACCAAATCTTCGCTTACGCTAATCTTTGACATACCATGCATAAAACACTTGAATAATTAGCCAGAAGTAATAACTATATACAATTTTTGTTTATTTTCCAGACAATGTTATCCTTGGAAGAGCTAGCGGTCCGCCTATTCGATGCCGGGGCGGTGCGCCTGGGGGACATCGAGGCCAAGATCGGCAGGCGCACACCCATCTACTTCGACTTACGAGTTGTTGTGTCTCATCCGCAGATTATGGTAAATTACAATATTTATTAAAGTAATTGTAGATTTTTTATAACAGCTATATTAGTGATGCATGGACAACCCTGGTTGAAACAGGATTAGAACCGGGGTGGTTTTTAATCCGTAAGAGTCTGAAACTCTCTGTCACTTCGCTCGGAGCGGGAGAAGATATACTTCGCTCCCTAAAAAAGCCATAATAATGATAGCAATAGCTAAAAAAAAACCCATCGTGTAGCCTATGGACAGCTAAACGTAAGCGTTTGCAATAAGAGTGTGTTCGGGCATAGCTAGCTACTTTATTAAATAAAAATAAAACACAATAGAACCAATCAGGTCAATATGTGGACCTTTATCTAGTATTTTAGTAGGTCTGTAGTCCCTTGTAACAGGGAATACCATATTGAGAATTTTACAAGCTGAGCGAATTGTAATTAAAAATGTAGTTATTAATAAACAGGAAATAAAATAAATGCTAATTAAACTTGCGAGGTAACATAAGTAGCTTAGTTGGTAGGTACGAGTTAAACATTAAAGTTGCAAGTCGTAATTAAATCGTTGCGAATCAATATGTCAACTAGCTCATCTAAATATACAAAAAGAGATTTGCGTACTGAAGATATGTTAATTAAATTTAATGTTCTCGAAAGAATAGGTATAATAGGAATGAAAATTAGGTATTATAGCCAACACCAAATTGAGCGCCAATTTGACACAACGACATCCATAAATCTGCCGACATACGACATGAATTAATTAATAAGTGTATTTCTGTTTAAATACTGAAGATTGATTAGAAGTTTTACGTTACAGCTTTCGGTGGCTCAACATTTGGAGAAGCTCGCGAAAGACATCAATCATGAGCTGTTATGTGGCGTCCCGTACGCAGCGCTGCCACTCGCCGCCGTCATGTCCATCAACACAAACACTCCAATGATCATGAAAAGGAAAGAAACCAAAATGTACGCTACGAAACGAATCCTAGAAGGAATCTTCGAGAAAAACCAGAAATGTCTTGTCGTCGAGGACGTAGTGACATCTGGTGGCAGCCTTATGGAAACTGTTAGCACTTTACGTTCCGAAGGCTTGGAAGTCACGCACGCCGTAGTAGTTCTCGACCGCGACCAAGGTGGCGTTAGTGTATTGAAACAGAACGGTATTGAAGTAAAATCAATTTTCAGTTTGACTGGTTTGCTGAGAATCTTGAATGAAGCCGGCAAGATTAGTGACGAAACTGTTGATATTATTTTAGAACATATTAAGGAATGCCAGTTTAGCAACTTGGATTTCATGAAGGATAACTTAGAGATTATGTCACTTTGATATTTTGATTTAGAAAGTTAAGATATAGTTAGGTTCCACTGGTTTCAATACCAGCTTATACTACCTGAATCCAACCATCCAAGAATATTTTGCCGACTAAAATGATGATAATTATGTAGGAACCTATGTCTTTACATAGTAATTAATACATTAGAATAGTAAGTAAGTAAACAGGTACCAAGTATTTGCCTAAATGACTAATGTATCTCTATTTATATAATGTAACAATAAGTATCTATAAAGACGATTTTCTACTTATAAATATGCGTAATTACAATGTAAGAAGAATGTTTGTAATATTTAAAAATATAGAATTAAATTTAAAGCCACAAAATTTAGTTTTTCTTAACAGTCCCTGTTCGTTCCAGTTCGAAAGTATCCTATCCTATCATGATATCGAGCTCAATAAGAGGGAGTTCCTGTTCTGGCGACCAATGACGGGTAGGTCATAATGCCAGTTCAGCAGTAGACTGTCAAAATCGTGCTGCTGTTGATAATGACAGTAGATGGCCTATTACCTACCTATTATTAGGTACCTCTCTTAAGAACATGATGGCATGTCATGAGTACCTACTCATTTTAGCTCAAGTAATAATAATATTAAACTTTATAAACAAAATAATAACAGAATTACATGCCTATTTATAAATGCTTAGTCGCTTTACCACACATATTTTCCTGTTTTGAAGCTAATTAGACTAGGGTAGATGTATTTAGTACCTATAATAGGTAAGTACCTTGGTAGTTGGTACCCAATGATAACAATTGACAATGTGTAGGTACCGGCTAATGGGCTACTGCACCGTTATCCCCTTGATGAGGAAACGACCGACGTCCGGTCACAATGCAAATGCTAATCGTAGTTGTTTTATAGTTATGCAGACCTCTATTCAGTCTGATGTTGAATAGTTGTTTGTAATTTACCTAAACTTTAGAACAGTTAGGTATTATTTATTAGTTGTAATGTTTATGATCAATTACCTTTTTCAAAGTCCAAGGATAGTAACTAATCAGTCAATTGAAGATAAGATCATTGGCAGTGGTAATTACATATAAGTCTCTGAGCGCCCCCCTGAGCGTAAGAAACGCGTGATGTTTTTGGTTTCCTGTCTATACGATGTGTACCTAATATCTGCCAATATAATAATCACTGGGGTAATTGGCTTGAATAAATGAAACAATTCAAATAAAATCATTGTAGTTTATTACATACTCACTGGAATATAATAATAATTAAAAACCTTTGATCGATTTCGAAATGTTGTACTAGCTTCTTAGTAAAAAGCCAATGAATAACACAATATCTGAACAGTATCAAACAAAGTATTAAAATTAAAACTTAGGCATTAAAAAATAGTTCAGCCTTATCAAAAAAAAGATCTTTTCCTTTGTGTCATCAGTGTGTCGACAGCACTGTGTTGGTAGTCAGGCGAAGGGCCCACGTCGCTGGGGGAACCTGTTTACAGCCATAAACATCCGAGAGTCGCCCTTCGATCAAGGAAAACACACACACGGGAATGTAGACGCGACGTAACCAACATGTAGGAACGTCCTACGTAACAAAAATTAAGTCAACGACGGTACAATTACACGGAAATACTAATGCAAATCAAAAGACGTCCCGTGCGACGCGCCGGACGCTCGGATCGGGGAGCAGGGGTATTAGGGTGTTGGGGGGACAAGGGGTGTGAGTGCTTAGTTGTCTTCGATCTCCTGCTCCTGTTCCTCATCGAACTCCGCGTCCTCGTCGGCGGTGGCCTCCTGGTACTGCTGGTACTCGGACACCAGATCGTTCATGTTGCTCTCCGCCTCGGTGAACTCCATCTCGTCCATACCCTCGCCAGTGTACCAATGCAAGAAAGCCTTGCGCCTGAACATAGCGGTGAACTGCTCCGAGATGCGCTTGAACAGCTCCTGGATGGCGGTCGAGTTGCCGATGAAGGTGGCGGCCATCTTGAGACCGCGGGGCGGGATGTCGCACACGGCGGTCTTCACGTTGTTGGGGATCCATTCGACGAAGTATGACGAGTTCTTGTTCTGGATGTTGAGCATCTGCTCGTCCACCTCCTTCATGGACATGCGGCCACGGAAGATGGCGGCCACGGTGAGGTAGCGGCCGTGGCGGGGGTCGCACGCCGCCATCATGTTCTTGGCGTCGAACATCTGTTGCGTGAGCTCGGGCACGGTGAGGGCGCGGTATTGCTGGCTGCCGCGAGATGTCAGGGGAGCGAATCCGGGCATGAAGAAGTGGAGACGCGGGAACGGCACCATGTTGACTGCCAACTTGCGGAGATCCGCATTCAGTTGACCAGGGAACCGCAGACACGTCGTCACGCCGGACATGGTGAGCGACACCAGGTGGTTGAGGTCGCCGTACGTGGGTGTGGACAGTTTGAGCGTGCGGAAGCAGATGTCGTATAGGGCCTCGTTGTCGATACAGTAGGTCTCGTCTGTGTTTTCTACTAACTGGTGGACTGATAGTGTGGCGTTGTAAGGTTCTACTACTGTGTCTGACACTTTGGGCGAAGGTACAACTGAGTATGTGTTCATAATTCTGTCGGGATATTCCTCTCTGATTTTGGAGATAAGAAGTGTGCCCATACCGGAACCAGTGCCGCCGCCGAGCGAGTGTGTGAGTTGGAATCCTTGGAGGCAATCACATGACTCTGCTTCCTTGCGTACGACGTCTAATACTGAATCGACTAGCTCAGCGCCCTCGGTGTAGTGTCCCTTGGCCCAGTTGTTGCCGGCGCCGGACTGTCCGAACACGAAGTTGTCCGGTCGGAAGATCTGTCCGAAGGGTCCCGAGCGCACAGAGTCCATGGTACCGGGCTCAAGGTCGACCAGGATGGCGCGGGGCACGTACTTGCCGCCGGAGGCCTCATTGTAGTATACGTTGATGCGCTCCAGTTGCAGGTCGGAGTCGCCATGGTAGGCGCCGGTGGGGTCGATGCCGTGCTCGTCCGAGATGATTTCCCAGAACTGAAACAATCATAGCGGCAACACATTAATTAAATGAAACAACCAACTTAAGGAATAAGAAGCTAAATGAACAGAAAGTTATAGTAAGTATACAGTAACAATAATCTATTAGCACAAGGCACGTCTGTGTGCGTAGGATGAGTCACGGTCGCCCTGGCGACGGGGTTCGCAACAAACGACGGCTCCCGAGGCGTCGCCTCGACATTAACATATTTACGAGGTCGACGTTATTGATTGATCCAACCCACTACCATAAAGGTACATCAACGATTTAAATCACGTCTTGTACCAATGAATACGTATAATTGCAGCAAAAACATTACGGCCGCCCACTTTCGTGTTTATGTCATGTTGCCTTAAAAGAGGAGAGCGCGGAGCAGGTTTCTCGTTTGGTCCGACAGCTTGTCGAACAATAAATCAGACAGGTCGGGGTTGCTGTGCACACTCGGTTCGCGTGCCATTTTTAGGACGAATCACGCATAATTCTCGGTATATACTACAAGCACAAGTCATCCATTAACATTGCTGCGAGATTTTATCGCGAATCAATTGAGAGGCTTTCTAGGTAAATGAAACTCGGCGAGTAGAGAGAACCGGCGATAAGATCAGTTGTTGACTCATTCGTAGCGAGATTATAATAAACTTTTTTTTATTTAACAGTGCAGTCACGTAACACAGCGCCATTATTTTCAGAGGTTAGCAAGGCTAACAATAGGCAATGGTTACGACTGAAAAAGGTTAAGCTTGGTAGTTACTCAGACAGAACGCAAACCAAATGTGCTTCATATTAGGATTGTGAACCTACAATACATAAGAAATTAACTAATACTGGTAATAAAAGTACTAAATGAACTATTCTTACATTTACATAACCATCTAGATCTTATCAATAATGCTGTAAAGATTACCTTTATCGGAATTAAAGGAAATTGAAGTAATCGTTTAGAGTGTGCGTCATATTGGTGGACGTGATGCGAATACACACACACCACGTCTTCATCATAACGTTTATTATAGCGCCTTGTTGGTAGGGACATAAGTAGCACACATTATGTACCTTCAAAGAAGCGCATTGCTTTTAACATGAATATTTTACAGTTTTATTACATTTTATCGGCGGAAAATCAGTCGATTTGATACGTGGATCACGCTACAAAAAGCAGGTCAACGCGGAAGACGCATGGGATTGGCTTAGCTGGTAGAATCACAGACTGGCACGGAGACAGTCGCGTGACGCCGACAATTACCATCAATGACATGCAAATAGCTATGAAAGTTTTGAAAAGTACGTCTTATTAGCATTTAGGTAAATCTGACGACAGTGAATGCATGTAGTTTACTTGGGTGCTTGGATATTAAGTAGGTTAAATACGAATATGTACCTAATGAAATATAAAAGATATTATTTAATTTTACCTAGGCTTCTCCAATGAGATTCCAAACACGTATTTCAAAAGACGTTCAAGATGTCGTTATAGCTTTCAAAAACACTTCACATTCTTTAAAAGTGAAAGAAATAACAGTTTTCCGCTGCACGGCTTCTATTTGAAGAATGCTGGCATTTTGCCAGATGCTGGAAAAATCACTTCCGACATTTCAGATGTTTAAGATACTTGCATAAGTGCCTAGTGATCACAGGTAAATTTAAAATACTGTTCATTCATTATCAACGTGAATAAAATCTCATTGATTTTCAACTGAATAGTAACTTTCTAAGTACTTTATCATGATGCATTATTTGATATTTCATTCATATCAGCAAAATGCGTCATACCTTTGACTGATAATGCACTTGACTGGAGAAAACTATGAAAATTAATCATTGTAAAGACAATCGTAGTTAAAATGCCTGAGATACCAAGAGATCCAAGCTTTTAATTAATTGGTATTAATCCAATTGTCTTTCAAACGAGAAGATATTTTAAATGCCGTAAAGTCTTTAACTTGTTTAAGTAAATTACGTTTATAAATCGGATAGGTAATCATTCTGTTAACTTTATTAATTTAATTGGCTCAGTCACGTACCTATTTGTCCAATTAATCCTGTTAAATTAAATGCTATTATGGCTATCTATGGTTAGCTAACTATGCAGTATGTTAAAGATTAAAGATAATTACGCCATCTTGACATTATCTTGGAAGTAGGTCGGTTTAATCCCTTCCCTGGCTTTGACGTCACGTGGTATTACCGAATAAATCTAATTTTACATTGGGAAGAGACATTATCGATTCATGTTGTTACAATGTCCCAAAAAGATTTTTTCTATATCACGTTGGGTTCTAAGAAAAAAAAAATGTATTGTTCGAAATTCAATTGCGTATCTATTGTAAAGAGGCACAATAATGGATTCTAAAAAGGTCTGGAACCAATAAGAAGGTCGCATCCTACCAGATGTCTGACACAAACCGAATATTACTTTTATGGTATCTGTGGAACCTATATTTATGACATCAAAGGCTGGACTAAACATAAAACCAGTTCCTGATTGTATAGAAAACGTCACAGGATAGCTTTCTTGTCGTAAACTTGCTTCTACAAAACATGCTAAAGCCGTGCTATTTTGGCCACCACGGAAGAGCGCCGGTCATCGAACTCCGGAATCCTACCACACTATCCATACACACCTATTTAAATTCATAATTAACTTTTTGCTATACGCGCATGAAATTAAAATCTGCAATAATTACGCGCGAGATTTTTTATTGGTTTTGTTCGGACAATATTCTTTTCGTGATGATGAAGTAAAATTACTTTTTTGTGTTGTCGTCGTTTTACCTTTTATTTAATGCTGATATTTGTTTCTTTGTAATCGTTTGTAAATAACGCATATTAATTAGGTAACTGAAAAGTTAAATGTAATACTAATAAGACAATCGAATCACAACAACTAATAATAATTAAACCTGTTTTTTAACTAAAAAAGTTCGCGGCAGATGTTTAAACATTTGGCGAACTGCGGATCCAGCGATTCCAACGGAAAAGGACTCGAATTTCGAACGTTATAAACGGCGGCCTCTGATTGGCCGGCCCTTATCATAGGACCGATAGGTCGGGGCCCAAACATGCGCGCCCTTTATTATTTGTAACGGTTTTTTTCGGCGGGAATTTAGTATGAGTTCATACGTTTAATACCTACGGGATTAATTGAACATAGTAGGTATAGTTGTATATTATATGAACACTACTAGTATGTATGGTAGAGGTACCAACAAATTAGAATTAAGTACAATATAATTGGATTCTTTGTTTCATAGAAGGTGGATTACTATAAGATTATTCGAATCAGACGGTATTTGTAGCCGATATAAACTCACAGATGCGTAACACGAAAATTATAAGAAATCTTCATGAGTCAGTGATCCGACTGACTTCTTGATCGTCATTCGCCAACCGGCGACTAACACGTGGAACTTTGCAACCGACTGCTGAAGCTCCTGCCTACGTATCGATCGATGGCTGTGGACACTGGGTGCGGCTTTCACTAAAAACTCTCCTTTACGTAATATTTACACGTTAAAATGATGACGTGACACTGTAAATGAGAATCATGAGAAAACTGACACGATACGTTGCGCATTGTGCAAAAAGGTCGAAATGTCTTTCATCCGTGACCACACCCACTGACTCGAAATCGTTTCAAACTCGTCTGCAGTTAATTGAATACAATCTAAACTAATTTCACGTGAATTAATAAAGGAAACTGTCGTCAATTGTTTCATATTTCTAGTCGTGGCGTGAGGCCGGCGTCACAAAATGCCGGCCGCCGTGCTCACGTTCGAAATTAGACATTTTAACAAAACAAAAGAACTGCTTACCTTGGCTCCAATCTGGTTACCGCATTGTCCGGCTTGGATATGCACGATTTCCCTCATTTTGTTTTATGTGAACTTATTTTACTTAGTACTATAAAATTTGTTTTTCTGCTCCGCACGCACCACGTACTCTCGTGGTCGCTTGAAGAATAATTTCGTTCAGTTTCGTCCGATCGACCTAAGCTACGGATGCAGTAGTGTTGTGCAAAACGAGTGGGGCGGTGTTGTCGATAAAAATTGTCGCATTGCGACATACTTTTTAAAAATAGCGAGTAGTAGTAGTAATACGTAATGTTTTTGAATTCAATAATGAAACGTATTTTTACATTTACTTGTTTTCTTTCTAATTCTGGAAAATCATCATATTCATTAACGAAACTAAAACGCAGAACATTATTTAATGGGTCTGTTAGTCCCTTTTTAACCGATTTGAATAATTTAATATTATATTATTCCTAATTTCAATTGTTTTATGGATATAAATATTAAAAAGTTCTGTATTAATCATAAACTTATTTGAAACGTAATATTTTGAATTTTTAATTTTGATCCAATCTCGTTCTATTGATATTCTTTATTATTTACAAACAATACACATTATTTAATTTTAAAATAAATAAATATGCTCTCAACATTGTACTATATTTTCATTAGTTAGTTAATGGAAATCTGCTTCAGTAGTGTACCTTTTTAACTGACTTCAAAAAAAGAGGGGTTTAAGTCGGTTTTATTAAATGTAGTTTACATTTAACGTATTTTCAGTTACATAACTTTTTTATTATAGTATATTCATTTTTCTCTTTTACATTTGTCAAAGATTTGTAAAAAAAAAACTTAAACATTTTTTTTTGATGGGATAGGGGGGCAAACGAGCAGGCTGATCGCCACCCATGGACACTCGAAACACCAGGGGAATCACAAGTGCGTTGCCAGCCTTTTGGGACTAGTTTTGAGGATTGGATTTAATAGGTCGCATAAAGTGTCTACATTCTAAATTGAAAACAAAAGAATCACATTCAATACATCAGACGTAGTAGTTGATGGCACGGTTGGTGCGGTGGCTGGGCAACCGGCTGCCGCGCAATGTGTCGCGGGTTCGATTCTCGCACGGAGCAACTCTTTCTGTGATTCACAAATTGTTGTTCCGGGTCTTGATGTCATGTGTATGTGTACTTGTATGTTTTTAAACACACCTACTATAAAAAAAGAAAGTATTGCCACTCGTGACTTACTAAACTTAACTAACCAAATTTCTTTCTACTATATTACATACTTAATACATTATGATTTTCAACTTTATTATAATAATATGTATTAAGTCGAATATCCAAAGAAAAATTGTCAGATTGGAGTAGGTTGACCTGCTTGACTGTTTGTACTATTGGTAAACTAGTCGTCATAAATTTAATAGTGACTTCATGTTTTTTCTGAATAATCAAATAATTTTATCGACATCGTGTCTCGATACGCGGACAGCCCAATAATTCTAGCTGGTTTCCTATTGGTCGGATGACGCCATACCGCTGTCAATGTAGCCAACCTAACAGAAATAACGGGCGTCCTAATTTCGGGACGAATTATATATTTTCTATGAAATTCATATTTATTAAAATATTAGTTAATTAGTATAACTGATTTACCAATGATACTTCGATTAGCAACAGAATTTTTGTGTTTGTTATCATAAATATTGACTTATATTCTTTATGAGTCACAGATGGGTGTTTCGGTTTTGTTATGTTGGTATGAGAGGAGATATTGGCACGTCATGGCGCCGGCCGGTGGATAATGTGGATATATGGCAAAACAAAAAAACTGCGTAGCAATGTTATTATTAATAGGTAATAGGTCAGTATCAAGTAGTAATTCCTAGAATTAAAAACCAAAATTATTTTTGTTGTTATTAAATATACGACAGTGGGAGTTAATAATATTTTTGTACTACCTATTCGTTTTATATAGGTGGCATTTCCTTCCTGTTGAGTAGGTGCCTATGCCTACCTATAGTAAACCATTAACCAACACTATACAATAACTAGTTAAAATATTTGTAATAAGTTGGTAAGAAGTTGCTGATTTCATAGTCCTTGATTATTTTTATAATACCTATGTAAATTGTACTGGCGATATAGGCTTATTTGGCTTACCACAACAATATAAGGTAAGTAAAATGTCTCTTACATGCTGTACCTACTGTAGTAGGTACCTACCTCACCAGTAGGAACACAATAGTTATACTTTACAAACACTACTTCTAAGTAGGAACGTCAGTATAAATGTCGGTAAATCATTATTATTTTGATAATAGGTACATATTAACGTAATTTAATACTCGTTATGCTTAGTTTTTTAAGTTATGACCTGATCTGTAGGACTTGTATTGATTGATAGTGATAATTATAACAAGAAGTAGGTGCCTACCTATGGGATTGAGCATGGCATGGGACTATCAAAGGATTGGGAATGTGAAACTCAGTTTTTGTAATATAATGTTTTAGTTCTTCACGGACTCGTGTCCGTACCCTTGTCATACAATTACCTAATTTTAAATTCATTAGACAAGTACCTACCGAGTGCAGCCTTTTCTATGGGTAAAACCGAGCAGGCGGATCACCTGATGGTAAGCAATCGGCGTCGCCCTTGGACACCCGGAACACCAGGGGCGTTACAAGTGCTTTACCGGCCTTTTGGAATTAGGAATTTTAGTATTGTTGAGGATTCAGGGACTGGGAAAGGGGGGAGAGGTAATTGGGCCTCCGATATCCTCACTCACACGACGAACCACAACGCAAGCGTTGTTTCACGTCGGTCTTCTGTAAGGGCGTGGTATCACTCCGGTCGAGCCGGTCCATTCGTGCCGAAGAAATTTAGCTCTATTAGTTTAATAGCGAGAATGAATCGCTCGACTCAACCGGAGGGATACCTAATAAGGCGTCATAGGAAACCGGCGTGAAACACCGCTAATGTTGTTTCTCGCCGTGAGATTACTGGGGGCCTGATCCTACCTCCCATCCCCAAGGTAAGACTGGCAAAGCACTCGTAACACCTCTTGTGTTGTTACAGGCGCCTCAGTCCATCGGGATTCAGGAGATTATGATACTCGCTTGCCGTCTTAGGTACTACTTCCTAAAAATGTAAAGGAACTTATGAAATTAAGCTAATACCTATGTATGTTGTAGATATTATGTACTTAACGTTCGCTAGGTATTAGAAACCCCATATTATTATAGCGTTTCACAGGCTTGCCTGTAGACATCCGCAGTTTTGCGGGTGTGTTCCCGCCTCTACCCGGGTCCGTCATACTGCAGTGACGTCACTGACGGCGCGCCCGGTCGTTGACATGCACTTTAAAATTTTAAAATAAGAATGTTATTGTAGCTGTTCCATGTTTGATTGAGAAAAAGAAATAATTAGTTAGACGCGTTACATAGACGGTTTTGTAGTTTGTTTATTTTTTAATTTTGAATGACAATATTATTTTAGTGTTTCTCGTTCGTATATTTTGAAACATAATACACCTTTAGGTCACTATTCCGATCAATAATTTCTTTAGTTACCTACCTATTTATTATGCATCACTCAGAAACCTGACCATCTGTTCCACCGTCCGCTGGAAATGTGCAAATTTCTCCATTACCTACAAACATCAGCAGGTCAAACTATCTCTTTTATTTATAGATTTTTAACCTTATATACTTTCATGATAGGGTTGAAAATGTCTTAAAGAAATATGAAAGTAAAAAGTAGCTTCATCTGCGGTTGACATTTGACGAGTGTTTTACAAAGGATGGTGTACATTGATGGTTTTTTTTAGTGTTTACTCATTGTTTCGTCCTTTGTAGTAGTAGCAAAGGGAACGAGTGTACTATTTTACAGTACGGCAGTTATGTAGTTAGGACTATTGCTAGACTGTTACTGGTATTATGGGTACTGGAAAGTCATTCCAGTACCACTTGGTACTGGAAACGCTTTTGAAAAAAAAATGGAATGCGAAAATCAATGATGTATTTCGGTAGGTACCTTCGGTAGGTAAGTAGACTAGTTATTTGTTTAATAATTACATAGGTGAGAGTGCCTTCCGTGGATTTACCGAAAGGTGTTGTTTTCCGGCGATTTCGCGGCCGGATACCTGACACCGCGCAGCACACGACGCTGACACACCACAATAGTCGTGATAATTAGTGTTTAAATTTATTACCTTACGTACTTACGTATTTATATTTAGTATTATTGTATTTTAATATGGGCCTTCGTTGCCTGATACAAATAAGAAAAAAATTACATGCCCATACAATGACATCATTCATTCATTCCTCAGGGGAACCCTCCCTGTAGACTCTATGGCGTATAGTGATGTCACATGTAGCTTGTTTTTGTTATAGGGATAGCGAAGGGGTCACAAAGCCATAAAAGTGTGGTTTTAATTTTTTTTTTAGTGGTATAAGTATGAGATCATCTTTTACAGCATACACTAAACTCTATGCTATAACTATTTAAAAAACGAACTTAAATTATGCTTTATTTAATTTGAATTTCGAAACAAAAAGTTTTGATTTTCAATAAAACAATAGATCCCGAGCGTACGGCGCGTCGCGTTCCGCGCGCGCTTCAAAGAGCCATCAGACCACCACAGATGGGGCCCAATACGGCCGATGCCGATTCGGAGTCGCGGAGAACCTAACGGGTAACCGGGGCTCCGACTCGACGTGCAGGAGAAGGAACGGGGTGGTTTTTAGTCAGTAAGAGTCTGACACTCCCTACCGCCTCACCCAGACGGGAACTAAAAAAAAAAACGAACTTAAATTATGCTTTATTTAATTTGAATTTCGAAACAAAAAGTTTGGATTTTCAATTTAGACAAAACAATAGATGTAGGATTTCAAACCGGCGTATAGTTATGTTACGTATGTACATTGACTTCAGCATCGATTCGATACCTCCCCCTTCTTAATACTTAATTCAGGCGTCACCTAAACTTGGAAACAATAATACCTAGCCTTAGCCTATAACCCACCTTGTACCTAAGTGGTCTATAGCCTCAGTTGCTACCCACACGAGGCTAGATAAGGTCAAGACCAACCATTGGCCTGAGTGGTGTAAGTCGAAATAATTCATTGATTTGTAAGTAAGTGTCATTATCACCATATTGATTGATATGAATTATGAA